GCCCTGTAACCCCTGGGAGGCCGAGGTAGGCGGATCACTTGAGGTCTCAAGTTTGAGACCGGCCTGGCCAACATGGTGAAACCCCATCTCTACTAAAAATACAAAAAGTAGCCGGGCATGGTGGTGCGTGCCTGTAATTCCAGCTACTTTGGAGGCTGAGGCAGGAGAATCACTTGAATCCAGGAGATGGAGGTTGCAGCGAGCACAGATCGCACCACTGCACTCCAGCCTGGATGACAGAGCAAGACTCCATCTCAATCAATCAATCAATCAAGATAGAATTTTTTAAAAAAGCGGCAGGGAGGAGGAAAGGAACAGAAGCAACGGCGTGGGGCCTCAGGCCTCATCTGTGTTCTGTTTCTCACGGGCACATCCTCAGAGCATGTTCTGGCGGTGAACAAGCAGGGCCGCAGAACCAGGGAGGCTCAGAATGAGGGCTGCAGTGGCCGAGCTCGGCACCCTGCCTAAATATTTTCCAAATACATTTACCAACAGAAAAGGAATCACGGATGTGCTTAGGACCCATGTCTCCAAAGACTGGCTGCAGCTAAAGTCTTCACATTAAAATACCGAATCTAAGAAGAAAATCAGATGGCCCTGCAGGAGGGAGAGACCCCAGCCACATCCCCCAGCTGCGCACCCAGGACAGGCTCACTGCAGGCCTGGGAGCCACGTCCCAGGTGCTTCTGGTGTAACTCCACGAAGCCACCATCTCCCTCTCCCTGACGCCAAGCAACGCCCATGCCTGTGCTCCAGAAAGCCCCTCGTGCCTTCCCACTGCTGATATGGGCAGCCTGCACTCGGCCCTCGAGGGTGCCATGCTCCCCTGTGATGGACTCCAGTTTAACAGCTTTTAAAAACAAGCAGACAAGAGACAGGCATGATGGATGAGTGCAGGAAGAACGCTCATTTGGACATGATTTATGGGAAGTCACATGATGCCACCTCCGGGGAGGGGGGGCGGGGTAGATGGATGAGTTCTGATAGTGCAAGAGCTGCGCTGCCACACCAGGCTCTCGCTCAGCCCCACGGCACGTGGCAGCCCTGCTCCCGTCAGAACAAAAGCGCTCCCCGGCCCCCAAAAACATCTGGAGAAGAGACACTCCCTGGCTCCTCCGAGTGACCCCAGCAATGCACAGCAATGTGGTTTAGCACAATGCTGATTCTCCCACAAGAGAGTCAAGGGGAGGGGAAAGAAAGGGAAGGGTGCGGGCTGGAGGGGCAGGTGACGCTCTGCTGGAGTTGCCACCCAGGCCCATCTCTTCCCTGCGGACCCTAAAGACCCGTCTGCCCCAGGCCCCAGCCACCACATGTGACAGACAAATCTCGTTTTGCAGCAGATTAATGCCAACCATGTTTTTAATAAGGACTTAGAATTTACTATACAGTAAACCCCAAATTGAAGCCGTATTTAAAGGGATGAGCTTTAAAATGGGACCTAATTGATGGGACCCTTTCCAAGGCGGAAGAAGTGAAGCAAGGCCGAGGCAGGGTCCCAGGAGGAAGTGGCTTCCTCCTGACACCGTCCTTTGAAGCGGGGACTTGCCTGCGGTGATGGGGAGCCATGCTCGAAGCCCGCCTTGGCAAGGCCATTACTGAATCAGAAATCCCAGCACCGCTCACTGGGCAGAAGCTCCTGCAGGCTCCTCCCTGCCTGGGTTTCTCCAACACGGATCTCTAAGCCTCCCTCAGGAAGCCCCTCCCTCTTGTGACTTTCCTCTGGGCCACAGAAGGCATCCACGTGCCAGAGCTCTAGGGGCCCAAGGGGTGGTTTTGGCAGTCCCTTCTCTGAAGCCCATGTCCAGGCCACAGGGAGAAGAACCCAGCGCCACGTGGGGCAGGAGGGTGTCTGCAGAGGTGCAGAGCCAGGCACACCGGACCTCAGATTCCTGTACCTGGCCCTGTTCCTTTAGACATCTGCCACCTACCCTCCTGAAGCTGATGAAAGGGCAGACAGAGCCTCAAAGCCACACGCCAGCCTCAGACCGCATTGCTCTTTGCTCAGAGGGGCCCCCCCTCTCCCCTTGACCTCACCCTTCTAGAAAGGGAAGACTATCAAATGCAGATTCCTCACTTTGCAATTCAGAGCGCACCTCCTGAATCAACAAGGGGCTGGACAGTGAATGCACCAGGGGAAGCAGCTCAGGCCCAGAAGAGCTTGTGGGGTGACCCCAGCAAGCCCTGGACTTCCCAGACCCTCCCTCGGGGGTGGGCTGGTCTTTGTGCTTTCACGGCTGATGACCCCGAGGATCCACGTATTTGGGGGACACAGGTTATTATCAGACCCACCGAAAGGTGAGGCTGGGCCGGCTGCCTCCTTCAAGGAGGCAGCAGACGTGGCGTTTTCAGAGCAGCGCAGGAGCCGAGGCTACTGTCACGGCCCGCAGCACACATACCCTCCGCAGCCCTCCCCTGAGGACACGGGTACCCACATCTTCCTGGAACTCGCCGTCTGAGGTTCCAGAGACAGAGTACGATCTCAGGGGCTTGCTCGTCCTGCACCAAGGCCAGCCCCACCCCTTGTGTCCGATAGACATTTTCTCAGAGATCCTGCAAGCACGGTGACCTCAGCACAGAGTGACCTGACCGGGTGCCATGGCGATGTCATACTGGCACTGCTTTCACCACGACACCGCAGAGAGCCCCAGGGTGGAAGGAGCCAGAAAGCTCGGTGGGATTCCTGCCCTCTAAACAGTCACATTGCTGCGTCTCTGTCCCGGTACCGGCTGGGGTTCATGGCCTTCCCTTCTGGGTTCCCTGAGGGGTCCCTGGTGGTTTCGGGAATGGGGTGACAGCCTTTTCAGCAAAGGAGGGGAGCCGTTGAAGGGCGTATCTCAGACGTGGGCCTAGAGCCACCGCTCTTCTCCTCCTGGGCCAGTGGCAGAGCCGGTGCTCCCGGGGACAGAGTGGGACAGTGGGTCGTCCCCAGCTTCCGCTCCTCCCCCTCACAGAAGGCGCAACATCTTCATACAACTCAAATCAGGCCATTCAGTCCTTCGATCAGAGCCCTGCAGTGGCTCCCACAACCCTTAAGACAAAGTCCAAAATCCTCATCCCCAACCTAAAGGCCTTTGCACCCAGCCGAGGACCCTCCACGTCATCTCCCCCCTCCACCTGCACAGCCCCTGGGCCCTGGGATGCCAGCCCTCCTGCTACTTCTCCAGCACGCCCGCCCCTCGCTGCCTCCGCACGTTGGCACTGGCCGTTCCCTCTGCCTGGAATGCTCTCCCCTCAGCCCTCCCGGGGTCCTCCCTCCCCGCCTTCCGTCTCAGAGCACAGCATCAGCACCCGAGGCCTGCCCTCCTGCCCTGCACGAGCCGCAGCCCCCACCGTTCCCTGTGGTCTTAGTGCACTGCGTTTATCTTCACAGCCTCATCGGTGCCTGACACACATTTCCTCTCTGCGTCCCTGCTAAAATATAAGCACCATGAGGGCCGGGGCTTGACCTTGTCTCTGCTGCGTCTCCACACCCCAAAAAGGGCTCAGCAGATCGGGGCTCACGGCTGTGGAATGAATAATGCAGGAGAGTCTGGATCGATGAGCTATGCCAGGAAGAACCCGGGGAGCCCTGGAGCAGAGAAGAGCACCCATGGCCCTCACCAGACAGAAGCAAGCAGTGCATGCCTGGAGACGCACCAGCCCGTGGGTGGAGATTTCCAATCCCGTGGGCTCTGGAAAGGGCATCTTTGATGGGTATTGGAGGGACCAGCCTGTGTCCCAGCCTCTGGTCTCTTTGCCCAGGGTTCTCGTCAGCATCATCCGCTCAGCACAGAAAGGGTCATCCCACAAGCCCGCCTGCCTCATCAGGCTCCAGTCCTCCCTGTCCGGGGTGGCTGACCCCCAGCTCTGTGCTGGCTATCAGCAGGGAATGGGCCGCATGGAACCCCACAGCACCCCACGGCAGTTTAGGAAAGCATTCACCTGGTGTCTGTCCCTGGTTCCTGGGAGGTGATCTGTCAAACCTCTGGAGTTTCCAGGGGATAGGAGCATCTTTTGTTATTCATAACAAGCCACATCTGACCACATCTGACATTGTGCTGACCTGGCGGCTCACAGTGAACCTTAAGAAGCTTCAGGTGTGAGGCCCACTGTGCAGGTGATTAGAGGGTTGGAAATTTCACTCCCCACCTCAGGGAGCAGAGAGGGGCTGGAAACAGCTCAGCCACGTGACTCGGGAGCTTTCGGTTGGTGAAGTCAGGGGTGAAGCAGCAGGGTGGCACATCCTAACTCCACGGGGAACAGGGGTAGCTGCTTCCCGCCTGGCATGCTGCCTGGCCTCACACTGTGTGTATCCTTTATCACAAAACTATCATTTTTAGTGTACTGCTTTTTTTCTTTTTTTAGTTCTGTGAATCACTGCAGAAAGTTATCAAAACTGAGGGATCCTGGGAACCTCTGAATTTGCCGTTGGTCACAAGTGCAGGTGGCCCTGGCAGCTTGCGTTCGAAGTGAGAGCCGTCTTACAGAGCGCTTTGCTCAAACCCTGCGGAGCCTGATGCTGACTCCGGCGGTGAGTGTCAGAGCTGAACTGCAGTCACCCTCGGGGGGGCGGGCACGGAGCCATCATGCCATCCCTTCCAGAGCCACACAAAGGTTTCAGGGCACGCCCTGGGCTGCGGGGCAATCTGGACAGCAGGGCAAGAACCGTGTGGGGGAGGGTCAGGTCCGACCTTGGCCTCTATGGCATCTTTGCTAACACCAGACGGCGGACCCCCACGCCCTGCCCACCCTCCTTCCAGGACTAACTGCCCCACAGCCAGGCTGATGAGCTGCAGGGTAAGAATGGTCACTCCTTAAAAACTCTACCCCATACCTTCCTTGACATCCGTCAACACTGCCCATCCTACCCCACGGACACCATGACCTGAAAACTGGAGACCAGCAAGGACACCCCCAGCCCACAACCCTTTCTGTAAAATAAAATCGCGGCATTAGAACGTGTTTCCTCCACAAATGCAAACTCTGGGGATGGGTGTGGTGGACATGTGGGGCCGCCTTACCTGGTAATGGGAGGTGAGGTCACTTTGCTGTACAGGGAGGCCCCAGAGGGGCTGTTTCTGGACGGTCCTTGGCAAGGAGTGTTGCCAGGGAAGAGCAGGTATCACAGAAGGAGGTTAGGTTCTCACAGACAGAATTTCAACCTGCAGGAGGAAAAGCAGCAAGTAAAAAAGTTGCCTTTGAAGGAAACATCTTCCTTTTGATCTAAAACAAACATTTGGTGTTAATAAACAAGGGAGGGCCCAGCTTCAAAGCCAACTGTTTGCCACCAGGGATCGGTGCCCTCCAAAGGGCACCTTGCTTTGCATGCCCCAGGGAAGTAAAAGGAACCTTGTAGAAAACACATCACTGGGACCCTACTGCCAGCCAGCCACGGCGCACTCATCCCCGGTCTGCCCCTCTCCCAGCCCACTGCCCGTGGTCCCCTAACCGCGGCCACTCTTCCACTCCGCCACGCCAGCCCCGCCCCATCGCCTCTGCCCCACCGCCTGCTCTGCTTCCTCCCTATCCAGCCGAGATTCCAGGACCCGCCACTGTCTGCCCTCCCCCTGAGACTATGTCCCTCTCTCTTAACAATATTCATCAGATCATGTCACTGTCCTGATCTGGTGACACGGCCTTCCACGGGTGTCCTGTGTCACTGAAGTTACTTCAGTGGCCTGCAAGCCAGGTGAATCTGGCTTACATGATTTGGGGGACTTCCTAAGAAAGTAAGATTCGGCCGGGTGTGCTGGCTCACGCCTGTAATCCCAGCAGTTTGGGAGGCTGAGGCGGGTGGATCACAAGGTCAGGAGTTCGAGACCAGCCTGGCCAACATGGTGAAACCTCGTCTCTACTAAAAATACAAAAATTACCTGGGTGTGGTGGCGGGCACCTGTAATCCCAGCTACTTGGGAAGCTGAGGCAGGAGAATCGCTTGAACCCAGGAGGCAGAGGTTACAGTGAGCTGAGATCGTGCCACTGTACTCCAGCCTGGGACACAGAGCATGATAGATAGCTTCATGGTCAACCTTCCGTTGCCTGCAGGGCTCTCAACAGTCTGGTCCCCTCTTCTGGCAAACTCCCTCTCTTCCCTGCGGCCCCACTGGCTTCCCGGCCATCCCTCCATGCAGGCGCATGCCTCCCCACCCCACCCCTCCACCACACCTTTGCACGTCCACTGCACGGAATGCTCATTCCTGCACAATTGCAGGGCTCACACCTTCCCTCCCTGCCTCAGTGCTGTGCACATAAAGCACCTTTCCAAGGCCATCCAGGAATAGAACACCCCATCAAAATAACCACCATCCCTATGGCATTCCCTTCTCCTTTCCCCATGAAGCTCGTCCTGGGGACTGAGCACACGTCTGATTTCAGGCGGATGTCCTGGGATCCCGTCCCACTCTGCCTCCAGTGGAATGCAGTCTCCATGAGGGCAGGCATTCGCATCTGCTGGATTTAGTGCCGAATCCCCCGTGCCCAAGATGTGCCTGGTACATAGCTGGGGTTCACTCCATATTTTTGTGAATAAGTAAATGAATGAACGAATGAGCCCACAAAAGTTACTCCCCCATTAATACGTCTGGGTTTATTTAGGATTGCATCCCACCCTCACAACGGAGAGGAGGAATTTCCGGGAAACAGAGGGGGCCGGAGGATTCTGTTTGTTTACTTGGTGGGGGCTGGCAGGGGGCAGGAGGCACCGAGCCTGGGAAGTCTTCTGCTTGCTTAATTTACTCCAACCCAAACAGTGTGTGTGCCATGGCCAGACGGGACACAGAAATGGTGGAGGAGATCCGCTCCGATCAGCCCAAGAGACGGTTGCTGAGGTAGAGTCATGAGATGGGGTGGCCAGGGAGTGGCTGGGCTGAGTGTCCCTGAACCGCCCCCACCACAGAGAAATACCTGGGGACACCTGCCTTTTCAGCAACCATAGATGCCAAGCCTGCTGCCCACGGCTGGACATGGGAGCCACTTTTCAGGGACAAAAGTGTAAGTAATACCAATGACTCTGTGGATGAAATGCAGCCAGGGAGGTGGCTGGGGGCAGAGGACCCAGGCAGTGGACTCAGGGGGAGGTAGCAGGCAGCCCAGGTTGGGTGGGAAGGGGTCCCATGAAGGGGTGCTGACTGGTGGGGTGGGAAAGCAGGCGGCAGGCTTCTCCGTGACCTCAGGGCTCGATTGTCAGCAGAAGCACAAAAGGCAAGGGCTGGAACTCACACTGCGCCAGGCCCTGGGCAGGGAAGTCTGGAGGGGACGGGAGCTCTGCAGCCAAGCCCCCTCCGAGCCTGGCGTCCACACCCTCACAGAGCCCCAGCTTCCAGCTGCTCCAATGACCGGAGGGGCAGAAGCTTCCGAAAGCCCTCCAGTCTCTCCTGGTCCCCTTGGGGTTTTCAGGGAGATAACAGGATGCTCTTCTGGCCCTGGAGGTGATTCCAGAGCATCTGCTTTCATTCTCAATGTGGCTTCCTCCCCAGACGGGGATCGAAGAGCCACATGGAGGCTCCTGCCCCTGCTCTCGCCCACACCCCCAGAGCACAGGCGGCCCAGGGCCTGGGCGGGAGGAGCGCCTGGGGAGGGAGGGCTGTTTGCCGGGCATCACCCTTCCTGGCTCGTCAGTGCTCTTGCCTTCGAGGTAGACGGAGCCGCCCTCCCCAGATCAGCCCTGGCAGGGGCAGCCCCACAGGAAGGAATGGAAACAGAGGCCATCCCTGGGGATCCTGAGTCATTCCCCGGGGCCACATGGACCCCGATGCTGCCCAGCCTGGCAGCTGCTCCAGGACCAAGGAGCCTAAACCCCTGAAGGAGATGGGGAGGAATTAGAGGAAGCAAAGCCAGTGGGGGAGACGTCAGGAAGGACCCTAAGAGAAGCCCCAACCCCGCCGCTCCACTCCCAGCACAGAGATCTTTAGGTGTCATGCCTGAAACGCAGGCCACCTTCTCCAGGGGCAAATGCCTTCACTTCCCCCCAGAGGCTGAGCTAAAGGGGGTGCCCGGGCGCCCACACACCTCTCCGCTGCACCTTGCAAGCCAAGATCGTGGGAGAAGTTATTTCATTTTAACTGGTCATGCTCAGCCCCACCTGCAGCCTCTTGCTTAGAGGATGGAGATGGGAGTGATCCTCAGGCCCTGAGTCACGGGGGGCAGGCACCACCGCCTCTGCCTGGGCGGGAGCCTCCTTGGCGTTGCGGTTGGCGAGTCCCCAGGAGCTCGGCTGCAACCCTCCCCAACCCCACTCGGGCCCAGTCCTGGGGCGGGAGAGGAGGCCTGTGCGCCCTGCACCCCTCCCCATGCTGCTGGCTCCACAGAGGCGCTGTGTCCCAGCCCCACCGATGGGCCCAGCCTGGTTTGGTTTTCCTCGACCCGAGTTGAGCAGAGATAACTTAACAGCTTGTCCCCGATGGTAATGGCATGTTTTTCTCACCCGGCAGTGGGAGACGCCATCCATCACCCACGGAACACCAGCCTACGGCTCCCTCCATGTGCACCCCTGCGCCCCAGCCCCCACCCCTTGGTGCCTGGGGTTTAGGGGACCTCAGGGCTCGCCCTTAGGCTCGAAGCTGCCAGAAGGAGCGGAACCCTGGTGGGAGGCGAAAGTCCAGTGACCAAGTCCCCTCGAAGGCTCTCGAGGCCCCCAGCCCGGCAGGGGTGGGAGCAGAGTCGGGGGCTGGGTGGGGGCTGCAGATGGCTTCTCAGGGCGAGCAGCCCAGGGGCAGGGGTGGGGCAGGGACCAGGGAGTGGGGGCCTGGTCCAGACCACAGCCTGCCATTCCCCCTCTTGCTGGGACCACAGGGTCCGGTCTGTCTCGGGATTGAGCTGCGCTCTCCTCATTCTCTAAACCGTATTTGCTGCCCCTCCCCAGGAGCTGAGCACAGCGCTCAGAGCACAGCAGAGCCGCGGGGACGCTTCACTGTTGACCTGCAAGGGGAAAAGTCTCTGCGGCTGCCTCGACTCCCCCTCCCCTCCCCCTCTCCTGGGAGGTCAGGTGGGGAATTCCGAGACCCCATCCTGTCCCCCCAACTCACGTGTGCACACATTCTCACATATGCACATGAGCACAGATGGGCCATCCCCGACCCCACCCAACACCTGCTCTGCTTCTTCAGGAGCTAATCCCCTTCCTCTAATGACAGAGTCCAGGGAGAGGCTTAAGCACCCCCAGAAGGCTGGCCATGGGTAGCAGGACCCCTGGAAGAGCTGGGAAGCGTGAGGAGGGTACTGCCTAGTACTGCCCCAGGGAGAAGGCTGTCCCTGGGGCTTGGACGGGGGCCTCAGTCCCAGAGAAGGATTTTAAATACACCCACACCCCCATCTGCAGCTGCCCATTTTCCTGTTCCCTATTCTCAGACTGGCAGCTGCAGCCTGCCGTGGAACCAGCCGGCACGGCTCCCGAGGAAGGACGAGGCTCAGGCAGCCCCTGGTGCTCTGCCCCCCAAAGGCCTCCTCTCAGATTCTTGTCACTGGAAAGAGAAGATGGAAAAATAAACACCTAGGTTTCCATACAGTGTCTTTTTTTTTTTTTTTTTTTGAGACAGAGTCTTACTCTGTTGCCCAGGCTGGAGTGCAGTGGCGTGATCTCGGCTCACTGCAACCTCCACCTTCTGGGTTCAAGCAATTCCCCTGTCTCAGCCTCCCAGGTAGCTGGGATTACAGGCATCCACCACCACCACGGCTGGCTAAATTTTTTATTTTTTAGTAGAGATGGGGTTTCCCACATTGGCTAGGCTGGTCTCGAATTCCTGACCTCTGGTGATCCACCCGCCTCGGCCTCCCAAAGTACAGACACACTAAGGGAGACGGAGGTAGGGGAAGGCGTGAGAGAGACCGAGGGAGGGAAGAGAAGGGAGGGAGGCCCCTGGAGACCAGGCACGTTCTCCCAGCCTGGACAGGGGAGGGTTGGGGAGGGCTGTGGCAGAGGTGTGGACGAGGCACACGAGGTAGCTAGAGCAGAAGCCACAGGCAGATAGCCCAGGACAGACGTGCTGGCCAGGTGAGGGGAGGCTAGGACAGCAGGCCCTGGAAGGGCAGAGAAGGCCGGAGACAGACGACCTGCCCCGGCCGGCCACAATGACCTTGAACTCAGGAGTTGCCTTTGGTCAGAAGTGTGGGCTTGTGTTGACCAAGATGCTGCCGAGGCCGTGGGGGCCAGAAGCCAGGGACAAGC